TTGTAGCAGCAGCTACCAAACCCCGGAAGTTCCGAAGTCTTAAAGACACCAAGGATCTCCTCACAGAGTTCTTGAGGCCCCTCTCAAACTTAAGACATCTCATGTGTTCAGACTCCACTAGAGATGGCGCAAACCGGGATAGGTCATTAAACTTAGCCTCATATTCCCTCACAGACATGTCACCTTGCTGCAGCGACATGAAGTAGCAGCAGCTACCAAACCCCGGAAGTTCCGAAGTCTTAAAGACACCAAGGATCTCCTCACAGAGTTCTTGAGGCCCCTCTCAAACTTAAGACATCTCATGTGTTCAGACTCCACTAGAGATGGCGCAAACCGGGATAGGTCATTAAACTTAGCCTCATATTCCCTCACAGACATGTCACCTTGCTGCAGCGACATGAATTCCAGTGCTTTTTCTTCCCTGTAACTCTGAGGGAAGTACTGGTCATTGAACAGCACCTCAAACTGCTCCCAGGTCATCCCTACGACATCCATTCTCCTCTTGACCTGTTTCCACCAAGTGTTTGCTAACCCTTCCATCTTGTATACCGCAAATTCCACCCAGTATTCATCTGGGACTCCCATAGTACTCAAGTGCTTGACCATGGAGTCAATCCAGAACTCCACTTCCTGGGGTCCTCCCTCACTATTAAATGAGGGAATAGGCGCTCGCCTGAATTCCCGAAAATACCCTTGTTTCGGATCCTCAGCCGGTCGCTCATTCCGAGCTCTAGTGGCCATGCCTTGAAAGGTAGCATACATGGCATCCAAGAACCCTTGATTCGGTTGTTCCGGTTGAGTGCCTAGTCTACGGCGAGGCACCATTTCCTTCAACTGAAATAAAACTAGACTGTTCAGTGGATAATAGATGTCACACATGTATGTACAATCCTGGGGTTCTTGACCTAAAGCTCTGATACCACTCCTGTCATGCCCCCTAACCAGGGTGGGTGACGTGGAACTCGATTTGGGATTAATAAAGCAGATTCCCAACCGGGTCCCACACTTAACTGCATTAAAATATAAATAAACGACATAATCCAGGAGCCTCTGACACACAGGGCTCCACCCTATAGGACATACAGTATCCTACATACATGCACATGTAAATAATCAATTACAACAGACATCATCCATGGTCTAGTAAATCCAAATGTCATTTATTACAAATTCTTACATATTCCTTACACTTTATGTCAGAGGATGAACACAATCCTCACTTGATCATTCCGTAGCACCACTTAGCTACTCCTGCTACTGTGCCCCGCTCCTAGAGTCTCCT